GTCGGTCTCGTGAGCGGTCGGTCTTATAGGATGATAAATACCTACTGAGGAACATAATACCGCAAACAAAAAATACCTACTGAGGAACATTATTACCGCAAAAATAATTTCCCACCGAGGAACATTATTACAGCAAAAAATACTCAAAACAAACAAACAAGAAACGATATAACAAAAAATCACGTTAAACATACTTCGGCGAGTTTTTTTAACCGTTTCTTTTAGGCAATTCAGACAATGGAATCATACAAAAAAAACGTCTTACATAATAATGAAAACAAAACCAAATAATGAGCTTAAAGGGTTTTTCAGATATGGCGCGGTTTACCGCCGCGTTTTTTCAGTTATGGCGCGGTTTACCGCCGCGTTTTTTGTTAACGTGTAAATGAATGGCAAATGCGCACAACAAGAAACGCCGAACGGACTTGCGCGTATTCATTAAATTCTGTGTTATAAGATTGAGAATTATGAAACGTGACGCTTTACATCGTACATCGTCAGTAAAAAAAAAGAAAAAAGAAATGCCTTTAAGCGGATAGTCCCTTGAGAAAACAATCTTTATTTTTCTTTCACAGAAAAAAGACGAATACATTCAATTAACAGAATACATTGGCAGCATACTTTGCTCTTGTTAGTAAAAAGAACCATAAATGCAATAAGAAATTTTCAAAAAAAAAAAAAAAAAAAAATCCCCCCAAAATAAACATAAATAAATATTTTTCTTTTAAACAAATATGATAATTGGTTAAAATAATTTTGCAAATCATGGGCTTAAAACGAACATAATTTTGTTAACTAGCACCATTAACATGATGAAAAAGTGTCAGGATATACTGTCATACACTTAATGATCATAATAAATAACATTATCATTGGTTTTATTTACCCAGGGTATAGCCACATCATTATTACTGCTCTTTTTACGGCCCCTGCAAAGCAGTTGCCAGGTATCCATTTACACCTGGATGGAGAGTGGCAAATATAGATTAATGTTTTGCCAAAGGGCATTAGAGCCGGGATGTGATTCGAACCCTTAACCCTAAGATTGGGAGTCAAATGAATGAACCACAGCGACACCTCCACAAGATGCACATTGTACTGTTTCAATTATCAGAACTAGTTGGAGAAAGGGTTATTAACACGACCCTCATCTTTTGCTGACATCGCTTTTGTGTACATATCGTTTATTTACCTTATGGTCGAGAACATGATCATTTGATATAAATATGATTAGAAAAAAAAAATCTTTCTGTGATAAGATTTCGTCACAGAGCAAGATGTTTTCATTTAAATTATCGGGAAAAACGTGAAAAGGGCCACTATATGTTTACATTTATATTCATGACATTTAAATAATATTCGATTATATCTTGTTACTCCTTTAAAACAAAAAAGGTCGGGGTCGGTGTGTACAATAATGGTACACGATGATTTTCTTGCTAAACTTAATAATAAATATTAATAACCATATTTAGAAACTGAATAAATACATCGGATTATATACATGACCGAATATCTTCGCAAAACTGTTCAATATTTAATACAGACAAGACATGGATCGCATTAATCACTTTCAGAAGCCATTTACGCTAGAATTATTCTATATTTATGATGCAAAAATCTCTTTAAAATTTGAGTTGCATATCCATGATACTCAGTCAAACTTGTTTTTCGCAGTCATTTTCAATCTCGTCAACTTTAACAGACAACATTGTTCAAAGAACGGAGTCCTTTGAATACGATAAACTACAAAGCATAGCGTACACAATCATCGTGAAAGAGAGTAAAGAGTAGCCTGAGAGGGAGTGGGGAGAGGAAGAGAGAGGGAGGAAGAGAGGAAGAGAGGGGGAGAGAGAAAGAGAGAGAGAGAGAGAGAGAGAGAGAGAGATGTAGTAAAGAAGTTGGAAGATGAGAAGAGAGAATGAAAGACAGACAGGTCGAAAAAGCCAACAGATGCACGAATAGTCATGGAGCTTTATCCACCAATGACAAAATGGTCATTTTGCATAGCATTTATGATTATTTCACAAATCACTTGTAGCAATGAACTGATCAGGGGCCCGTTGCATAAAACTTACCAGTGATGGTAACTTTAACCATGGTAACAGGGCACAACAGCCAATCAAAATCAAGGTTTCCATGGTAGTTACCATTGATGGCAAAGTTACCGTCAATGGTAAGTTTTGTGCAACGGGCCCAGATATTGCCATAAAATGGGACGAGGGGCCCGAACTAGAACATTACCATAATATCGATAAGATAAGCAGCTAAAATGATACACGCCTCAACATAATAGGCCATGTTTTCGTAATGTAATCAAATTTATGCATAAGCCTTTGGGAAGCATCTCGATAAGAAGTATTTCATTCATCTATATAAATGTATCTCAATAGTCAGAATTCAAATTGCATACATACATTATAGTTGTTGCTAGGTAGGACAAACATTATGGCTTGCTCTACCTAACAACACGCAATATGCGCATTCTGACTATCGAATTACAAATACTGTATTCGTAACAGGTGAAAGAAATAATCTGTATCGAGGCACAAGTATATTAGTATTACGTGGTTACATTACGTAAATGACATATTCAGAAATACAGGAGCTATGTTGTACGCCATAATAACCGTTATATTCTTGAATAACTATGGAAATAGAGGATTATCCAACTTTAATAGCAAGTTAATCTGAATAAAAGCAGACATATCAGAAAAAAAGATTGGTGAAAGATGGGACAAAATTGGCATAAACAGGAAGAAAGCTATTATAGCAGTTTAAAAATGTATAATACATTTTTAAAACTTGAGATCGTTATAGAGTGACTTCAATATTGGCGTAGTGGTAATCCTACGGTGATGTATTATTTCCAATCTGATCCTACGTTAGCTCTTTAAGCATAGGTGGATTTCGTTTTAATGGGAGACATGCTATCAATAATGCGGGCAGACCTACTTCGAGTCATCGGGTCATCACGTCTGGTCGGGCGGTTACCCAAACTTTCGTGAACCGGGGGCGGAAGATGGCGCAACCTTTCGAAGATTTGTTCTAGGGTTCTCTCAAAATGTAGGGTAAATTGAACCAGATCATTTGTAGATGAGAGGGTTTCATTTCACAACAATTAACCCGATATTTCATGAAAGAAGGGGCATGTTTTCGCAAAAGCTCGGGTAATGCGACCACCCGACCCGACGCGATCACCCAATGATTCGGAGTTAGCTATTAAGTGACCTATTTGAATTGCAGCACCGGAAATGCTACTGAGGAGAAAAAGGGAAATTCATGTTGATTTTTTGTTCTTCTTTCTGTTTTCTTTAACTGAGGGAGTTGTCCATAACTACTTCACTTTTGATTGACTTAATTGCCACTTTGAGGTTCGCACGCACATAAATTATGTAGTGATCTATTCCTACGAGGCAGCATTGATACGTTTCTTTTGATTTTTTTCTTTCCTACTTTCACAAACCAGTTGATACTCTCATATTTCTGCTGTCACATAACTCCATCACGAACGAAAACACCTTTGAAAAAAAAAAACCTAGAGTATGTTCAATAGCCTTGCCCTTCCCCTATCGAACTGTACGAACTTCAAATCCGAACATGATTCCGTTGGGATAAACAATAGATTAGATTGATAGCCCTGCTGGAAAGAACACACTCATTCACACTCATTCACAGTGTGAATCACAGTGTGAAATCACAGTTCACACTGTGAATGAGTGTGAATGAGTGTGTTCTCTCCTTTTCCGGTTATCCATAGTGTAAAACAAATCGACCACAATGTGAAAACGCCCCAATTTAACATTGTGGAGCACACTGTGATTCACAGTGTGAATGATTGTGTTCTTTCCTTTTCCGGTTCTCCACAGTGTGAAACGAATCGACCACAATGCGAAAACGCCCCAATTTAACATTGTGGAGCACACTGTGATTCACAGTGTGATTCACTCTGTGAATGAGTGTGAATGAGTGTGTTATTTCCTTTTCCGGTTATCCACACTGTGAACCACAATGTGAAAACGCCCCAACTTAACATTACGGAGCACACTGTGATTCACAGTGTGAAACACAGTGTGATTCACTCTGTAAATGAGTGTAAATGAGTGTGTTCTTTCCTTTTCCGGTTCTCCACACTGTGAACCACAGTGTGAAACGAATCGACCACAATGTGAAAACGCCCCAATTTAACATTGTGGAGCACACTGTGATTCACAGTGTGATTCACTCTGTGAATGAGTGTGAATGAGTGTGTTCTTTCCTTTTCCGGTTCTCCACACTGTGATTCACAGTGTGAAACAGTGTGATTCACACTGTGAATGAGTGTGTTCTTTCCAGCAGGGAGGGTCCGGATAGGGTATTGAAACTGCATTTTATACTTTTTCTCGAAAGGTCAGTGAAAATTTGAGCAAAAATTCCGATTTGAAAATAAGAAGGTTATGAAATCAATGTTTGAAGTTGCGATCAATAAAAAATGAACTTTTCAGTATAAAGCAAATGGGAGGGGAGCTTGCAAGATACATCGCAGAGTTGCCAATTTGTGTTTGATTGATCGCAGCTTCAAATACTCATATCGTAACCTTTTATTTTTAAATAGAATTTTGCTCAAAATTTCATTGACCTCTTTCTCTAATTATTGTCTGCTTCTATAAAAAAAAATATATATATATCAGGGGAATATCCCCTTTAGTACTTGTTACAAATGTTTGATTGGCTTTTACAATAATGTTTTAGGTCTACACTGTGTATTCATGTGAGTTATTTATTCTTCTTCAAATCATGCAATGGGGCTGATTTCTTTCAAACTTCACAATCTGTTTCCCATACTCTCTAATCTGCTTCCACCAAACTCTACTTGTACCAAAGATTGCATTTCCTGACTTGGTTATGTTGGTAGGTCTCTATTCGGTACATATTCAGGCGAATTCTTGAACATCACATCTTAATGAGGCCGATTTCTTTCAAACTTTCACCAACCTGTTCCTTCGATTTTTTTCTTCTTCTGCAAATGAACTCTACTTGTTACAAAGATTGCATTGCTTTCACAATAACGACGTCACAAAAGTCTACTCGGTATATTCAGGGGAGTTCTTGAAGGTCATTTTCTCATGAGGCCTGGGATAGAGCATACCCGTACCAATCACCATACGCTCCTTACTGACGATGTAAATCTCCTCGCCTGTGGTAAGAGAACAGAGTTTAAGGGATAAATATATGTGTTCTTTTTATAAGAGAGGCGTGTTAAAGCATTTTCCTCAACATGCATGCCTCTGTTAATGCTTGTTCAGATATGGCGCGGTCCGGGCGCGGTAAATAAACCGTCGCCAAAAAGCCACCACGGTCTTTTACAAGGTGTAAACGAATGGCAACTCCGGGTGGCAACTGCGGGAAACAAAGGACTTGCGCTTATGCACAGAGTGTAATGTAAAGTGTGTTAAATTTTACGCGATCACCAAAATAAAAAGGAAAGAAAAGAAAACGGCGCGGTATTGCCACGTCATATCTGAACGAGCTTTTAATAAACATATTTATCAAGCGATCGAAACAATGTGCAAATAGGCCTGTCGAAAACAGATAGTGACAGGGAGGTTAAAAAAAGGAGAAAGAAAAAGAGGAAGAGAGAAAGTACAGAAATAAAGAAAGAGATGGGGGAGTGGATTAGAGAGACAGAGAGACAGAGAGAGATGGGGAAGAGGCAGACTGGAGAGAGAGAGACAGAGAGAGACAGAGAGAGAAAGAGGAATTAAGGTAGGGTGCTGGACCATTGGTAGACACTAGACAAAGGAAAGAAAAAGAGCACGAAATAATGAGCATAATAGGACTACCTATCTTTGAGGTTTTGGATTGGATGAGATAACACTATTATTACATATTGAAAGGAACATTACTGGTATTGGAAGATCTTGGAACTAAATGCACATTGTAGATGCATGAAAGTGAAAAATGAAAAAGATATCCTGTTGAGTATAATCTTGATTTTGAAGCTTGATTTCTACAACTTTCATCTTTTCCATGTGTAAGTTGTTAACCGACCGCAAATACAGCAAAACATGAAGAGAAAGGGAAAAATAGAAAAGGGATAACTCAATAGAAGACTTCAGTATAGTTAACCTGATTTTATGACCCCTTCTCCGTCCCCAGCATGTCCATCTCATCCTCCTCCTCATTGGTCAATTCAGGGTTCATCTTGGCGCGCCCCTGTACAGACTGACCAATCCCCATAGACGTCTCATGCTTGTTATTCTCCTTGCTGCCGCTCTCAGCGTTCTCGCCCTGGTCGTCCACGCCCGCGTCGTCGGCACTGGGACTTTCGTCGTCGAGTCCGTCGGGGTCGAAGTCGCTATCGCTCGAGACCTGCTTGTGGATGTACTCGGCCATGGGGTGGTCTTTGTTCACTTTGGAGAAGTACTGGAGAGCGATCGGGGTGCCGCAGACATAGGCCGAGCGATCGGGCGTGGACACGGTAGCGAGAAGGGACTCGCATCCGAGTTGTTCCAATCGATCCAACTGCAATGAAAAAATATTTACGAATTCATTTATGATTTGTCTATTTCATTGCGATACGCACCATTAATCCCTTGCACAAGAGGAGTCATAATTATTTGCCTGGTGTAGGACTGTAGTTTGCACCTTAAAGGTCGGTGCATGACAACTAAATATAAGTTGATTCCTGTTGAATAAGCCAGTTCACGGTTGCAGTCTGAGCATGAGCAGATCAAGGTCATTGCAGAACAAATTGTGAAATACACGGAGACGGAATACTGGATACGTGCTCATGAAAGTTATGTAATCATTATTCATTTATGCACAAGCAGAGCACTCCATGATACACAGGTGGAAGTATTCTTTGAAAAGGGGAAACAAAGGCTAAGTATGCAGCATCTCCATCGCTGTAGGAGTGATAATTTCAAAATGTACAAAGTGGGACCTCTTCATGTTTTGAAGATCTGTGGATATTCGGGGTCATTGCAGCCATGTGCTAACCGTGAACTGGTCTATTGCAGGGCTGCATACAACTCCTATTTTGTTATTCAAACATCTAAATGTATATTTTATAGATTTTTAAACAAACTCCAGATCTCATTAATCTTGTGACATCATCTGTCAATAATTAGTGAGCTAACAAGAGACAATGGTTTGTAGCTACACCAGAGCTGACCTCCTGTTTACAATAGTCAATAGACCATACAATACCAACATAGGACTTGCCATGTCAGACATGCTGTAGAAAATTCATGAAAAGAAAGGTAACGTGGAGGTATTGTATGAAAGAATACAATTCTTCTGTGAGCACGTGCTGAGCTGAGGGGAAGTTACATACCACTGTCTCCTGTTAGCTCACTAATGATTGACAGATGATGGGAGAAAGGGAGAACGAGAGAGAGGGAGTATTGATTTGAGAGAGATAGAGAGGGAGAAAGATGGAGATCGAGAGAGAGAGAGAGAGAGAGAGAGAGAATGGGGATATAGGATAAGGGAAACATTAAATACAGACCTAACAACTTTCCTTGACGAAGCCTTAAACAAATCCAATTTTCGACGTATAGCTTCATTCAGAAAACCCTTTCTTTTAAATAGAATTCTGACAAATTGGGAAATACCCCCCCCCCCTCAAAAAAAAAAAATAAATAAATAACGACCTTCTAATGAATCTAATGAGAATAGCGTCATTACAAAGCCCTAAAGTGATACAATTTTTAAATGAAACCATAAAAGGTTACAAAACACTTCAATTTGTAAAGAAAAAAAAAACACTGTGACACACGAATGACGAAAGAAGATAAAGACCCGAGGCCACCAAAATGAGGAAATACATTAGAAATAACAAGTACAACAAGTATGTTTTCAACAATACGATAACACACAAAAGGAGAAGAAAAGTAAAGGAAGAAAGAAACAAAACCGAAAGCTGAGATTTAAAAAAAAGTGAGCAATTGTAAAGAAAAGAAAAGAAAAGAAAAGCAGAGAAAGAAAGGAAAAGAAAAGAAAAGAACAACAGGATAGAAAGGCAAGAAAAAAGAAAAGAATAACAAAGAAAAGAAACACCCCAAAGGCAATTCCACGTGGGCAACAATATACAAGTTTATACTAATATTATTCAAACTTATGGATATTTTTTTCCTGGGGACCTATTGACGAGTTATTCCATTAACCTGATATTAATGAACGAACTACAATACTTGGAATCCAGTCTGCATACATTACTTCTTGATATGTCGGGAAAGCCTCGAGAAAGCTTTGAGGTTATAAACAAGAAGCTTCGTTTAAAATTTATGCATTCAATTTGAATACCGTTAGTAAACTGGTCTATTGCATAGCTTTTCTTTTGCAAATTAGAGTTGATAAGTGATCAGGCGACCGGCATTTCCCAATCCATAGTAATTATCTTGGCAAGTTTAACAATGCAATGCCTTGCTTACATTGTCAAAAGAGTGTCTGAACTCGGAATTACTCACAGAGTCACAGAAGTATGTAATATCAAAATAATGGCCCTGAGTGGGACATTCTCATGAGGCGGCGAGCATATTTCACGAGTCGGTACCACTCATAAATTTCACTGGGTACCTTTGCGCAAGATGTAAGAAAGTGTGAGAAACATAAATTCTCCTGGTCAGCGCAAAACCCAAGGGTAATTGGCATATTTGAGTTTTCAGTCATTCTCTTCCCTGAACATCTCACAATAAAATTCATCCCAAGTTACAATATTCGATTAACTTACATTCATCTGGATTTGCTCCACGATTCGTCTTATTTCGTGGTGCCTCATTTCTGGGGATTCCTTTGGTGGTGGCATCATCTTAACCGATGGGTAGACGGTGAAGCTTGGCGGGGACATCCCCTGTTGTGGATGCCCCGGAAGTACACTTCCTGGCATCATTCTAGCTCCTCTAGGACCAGGGAAGAACCCTCGAATCAGCGTCTGATGGTACCCGATGTCTTCATCCTGCATGGACGCCGCTGACATGACCGGAGATGGAACCGATCCTAGCGGGGAAGAATGGTTGGATCTCTGTGATGTCGGTGCTTGTGCCGCAGGCGTTGCAATGGTTGCTTGAGCCGGCATGCTATTTGGCAGCATGCCGTCAGTGGCGGTTACCGATGGCGGGTAACCTGTGGTGGATTGTCCTTGAAGATATGGTGGAATCGAACGATTTGGCATGCGTGGCGAAGTATGCGGAGGGGCGTGTACCTGTATGGCGGGTTGCTGGTGGTTTTGGCTCGTGGGTACCAGTTGCGTTAACGCCATTTGATTCACCTGCGATTGATGGGGTTCATTGTGTTGCGGATTAGATGCCTCTGAGCCATGGAGAGCGCCCTCACCGGGTGTTCCACCAGGGAGCGGCTGCTGCTGAGGCGGCGTCGTACCAAGTCCATGTTGCTTTGCCATGTGCGGTAAGAAAAGCATCTGGGTCTGGCGGGGTGGTGCCATGGTCAAGGTTTGTATTTTTGCGGGTGGCATTCCCTCGCTACATTCTCCCGGTGGTACATGGTCAATATAACTCTGCATGCATGCTCTTTGGACTTCTTCCAAGCGTCGCTTTCTCCGCTGGTTACCGATCCAATTCTAGATTCAACAACAAGGAAAGACAAACAAATAAAACTCATGATAACCAGGATTTATGTCAGGTATCACATCGCTTGTTTATAAAACACAATAAAATGGAGCTTTTTTCATGCTAAACAGAATGTCCGAAATTATTAGTTGTTGGAAAATGATATCTCTCCGATACTCTTTCCGTGTTTTTTCCCTCCACTAAGCGAAAACGGGACGGCTTGCGCGATTTCCCTAATCATATTTCCCAAGAATTTGTTTCCCACTCTGACAACCATGCGTCTGCCCCTGACTGAAATAAAAGAAATAGAAAGAGGGAGAGAGAGAGGGAGAGTGAGAGAGACAAAGACAGAGACCGGGAGAGGGAGAGGGAAAGAGAGAGAGAGAGAGAGAGAGAGAGAGAGGGGGGGGGGGGGTGGGGGAGACTGAGCGAGAGAGGGGAACGGAAGAGAGAATGAGAAGTATAGGACCATCAAATCCAATTTTAGTGCTTACCCTAACGACATCGAATTCCAGTGCTGCTTCTTGTGCGCATTGCTGGATCTTTTCCTGATACATGAGGCTCTGACCGACCATCCCTTGCTCAAAATATTTCATCAGGGTTCGTTTCTGCTCCAGTGTGAACGTGTGCCTCATGGGAATCTAAAGAAAAATAAAGATAAGCAAAGAGAAGAAAACAACAACAGTGAGAGGCATATATACAGTAACGAAGTTGTAGGACCATGTGCACCTTCCCAAGTTCCCAATAGCAAAACAAACAATCAAGAAATTATACACACACACACACACGCACACACAAACACAAAAACTGATACACGAGAGTCCGTCCGGCCATCTATTGCTCAAAATATTTCACCAGGGTTCGTTTATGTTCCAGTGTGAACGTGTGCTTCATGGAAATCTAATAAAATAAAATAAAAGAAATGAAAGACCACGCAGAAATGAGTTAAGAGGAGCTACCTTCAAATAACAACAGAAAGAAATGGAGAAACAAACAAACAAACACAACTTGATGCATGAGGAGCCATCCCCTGCTCAAAAATATTTTATCAGAATTCGTTTCCAATGTGAACATGTGCCTCATTGAAATCTAAAAAAAGAAAAGAAAAGAGGAGATAGTGAAAGGCATACGCGGTAACTATTTCGAAGGCCTATAGAGCCCCCCCCCCTCATGACAAGCAAGCAACCAAACAGACAATAAACAAACAAACAAATAACTAAATGCAATAAACAATAGGTCAAAGGTCCTGAGCAACTTCTTCACGGACAACTTTCACCATGAAATTTATCACCCGAATATCTCCCCCCGACAACTAATTTTAATCACCAATCTGAAATATACCTCCCTTACAGTTTGTTTTGTTTAATTCATATTAATCCTCAGGCGCGGATCCAGGATTTTCCAATAGGGGGGGGGGGGGGGCCGGAAATTCAAAATTCGCGCAGACCGTTATTTAAACTTGCCAATACTGACAAGGTCATATTAAAAGCACTGTACTTTAATAGTGTACTGGTACCTACAAACGGGCACAATTATTTTGGAAAGGGGACATGCTCAAGTCACATCTCTTGTCCGATATCAACATTCCCCGTTTTCAAGTTATGCTCGCGCGCAATTTTTTTGACATTTCCATCAGTGGGGGCTGAAGCCTCTTGCCCCAATATCTATTTCCTGGTTTAATAATTTGGCGAGTGAGCGGAAATTTGAGCTTATGTATGTTGTGAAAAGTGTTAATTGTCACCAAAATATACGAGATAAGATATAACAAATGCATATTGGTAATTTTTAAATTTTCGGGGAAAGAGAGGCTGCAACACCATCCCGCATTAACTGCAGGTGTTTTGAAATCAAATCAGACTCCCCAAAAAATTGTTAACCAAAACGCACGAATCCAGTTTCAAAAATCCAAAAAAATGTCAGCTTCAGAGGGGGGCACATCACCCCTCAGACTCCCTCTAAAAGTATTAACCGAATCGCACGAATCTAGGTAAAAAAAAAAAACAGCTTCAGAGCTAGAGAGGAACCCCCCCCCACACACACACACACACACCCTGTGCGCACAAGCGTGAAATTAACGCTGGCACTAATGCGTAAGCAGGGGCGGCGGAGCTATTTCCAAAGTGGAAAGCACCAACAAAAAAGGGCACCTACAAAGCGAAATCTCAAAGCGAAAATATACATTTTTTTAGACATTGGTATATACCCTTTCATTGTGATCCCATTATCAGGGACGATTTCAATATTTGTTTTTCTTTATATATCATACAAGTTATTGCTTAAGCATCACACTTTTGGCTGTCTGAATATTCATTTGCGAGCGAGCAAAGCGAGCGAGAAAAAATGTAAGATCTGTGAGGTGGCAGAGTGAAAAATTACATCTTATAAAGAGGAAAAAACCAAATCATGATGGGGTTATAAGCATCACGGAAGACTGAAAAAACATTTGTTTTAAAGTGACATATAATTGTATCATCTATAAATGCGAGCGAGCGAGCGAGCTTTAGGGAAAATTACTCTTAGTCGCTTTAAATTAGGTGCAAGACTAATGATGAGCAGGTTAGGGGGCACGTGCCCCCCCCCCCCGTGCCTACGTGCCTGATGATGAGAGGTTAAGGGGACATATATCGAAAGGGATAAAGACACTTATTAGAAAAGAAAAGGAGCATGTGTCAAGGTACAAAGAGTAATTGTTGTATTGTATTGTATTTATTAACATTTATTTCCTTCTCAACAGCATAATATAAAACACAATGTATATATACATGATATATGTAACAATTATTTCAACATAGAGTATACAGTAATTAATTCAGATACGGAAGGAGGCGAAAACCCGGAAAGCGTAGCTTGAGTTGGGAACGCCCATAATAAATTAACACAGTTACCGAAAGAACATTATAGATATTATTATGAAAATTACATTGTATATAACAGAACGTTGATAGGAAAGAAAAAAATAGTGAAAGGAAGAGAGGAGAGAATTATCAAAGGTTCAAACTGGGCACTTCTTACACCTGAAAGGAGGCATTCACCAGAAATGAGATAGGGCACTTATGAGTATGGGAAATGGGCATTTGTCGACGGAAAAGGGGCATCCATCAGAAATTGATTTATCAGAGGTGAAAAGGGGCATTTATGAAAAGGGGATAGGTCCCTTAATAGAAAGGAAAAGGGGCACGATTCAAAATTAAAGGGCAGTTAGCAAAGGTGAAAATGGGCACCCATCATAGATGAAAAGACTTATCAGGAGGGGAAGGGGTACTTTTCAAAGTAAAACGAGCATCTCTCAGATTTGAATAGGGGCAATCATCGGAGGTGAAGAGCGCACTGAAATGAAAAGAATTAACTTCTGATATATGAAAATGGTCATTTACCAGAGATGAAAAGGGACACTTTTTATTTATGAAGGGCCTCATTTTTCTAAATAGCCCTTATCAGATAGGAAAGGGGGCACATGTGTTGATGAAATGTGCGCTTATCCGAGTTAAACAGAGGAAGAGGCACTTCTTTACAAAGGAAAAGTGGCCCTTGGGGGGGGGGGGTACTTGAAGAGTGGGGCGAACTTTGCCCCCTACCCCTGCCACCCGCCCCATCATCTGAAAATCCAAAATGATGTTGTAGGGGCCGGGCGCGGCTTTATCATGAGTGCTTTTATGTGAACCTCTTTTTTTTATAAATATATTATGCTGGATTCCGACCCAGATTGCACACTCTAAAATAATAGTATGATCATCCCCAATACGCTTGTAGTTCACGTATGCACCCCTTCCTCCTAATTCGTCGTTACCGTCACTGCCATTTACGTATGGCCGGCCGGCGTATTTTTTATTTACACGCTAGCGAGGGGAATTTCTCGATTAATCCAATGAAACCGCTTAAAATTCCAATTTACATCCAGGAGAAAGTTTGCTTAACTTTTTCTTGAAACACTTGAACGGTTATAGAAACTGTTTGTGTTTCTAATCTCCAAATATTAATATTATTCTGCATCAAATATAAAACATTGATTTCTACTGTGATATGTAAAGGCACGAACTTACGTTAATACATACACATATTTTTTTTGTAACCAAGAAGGTGCACCATGGAAATACATTTTAAAAAACACACCAACATGTTACCTAGACAATTATTAATGATACATGTAAAATATAGATTGAAGCAATTCTCGTCGATTGGCTGTATCCTGAGTGTGATTTATATAATGGATTTTGAGTAACATTTGCATCTACCTGTAGTTGAAGAATAGATACAGTGTATAACATCAATTAAGTTGGAGTTCAATTGGAAGGAAGTAACGAGGAATATTGAAGCAAGGCAGACTGGGAGATGAGGAAAGCAGGAAGTTAGAAATTAAGAGATTACTCGCGTGATAGCCTTGTATTAATGAATCCTTTATATAATGTTGTCTTGAGAGAAAGTAGACGATTTTTTTTTTAAATTGGAGATTAGTGCAAGTATTAGATATATTGGAAAGTAGTCTGCGGACGAAAGTACAACAATACGAAAGCAGAAGTTATATGAAATTGTCTTTAAGAGAGAAAGAGAGGTTAAATTCTAAAATGAAATGAAAGGGGTTATGTGACTCTCAAGGAGGAAATTACAATTTCTATCTCTCATGACGACTATTTGGAATTTCCTAATTTTGTTTAAAGTTCAAGAACTTCCTGGGGCTCCGCCCCGTGCAAGACTCCCGGCAACAGCAAATTATTTACACAATTTCTTGCTGTCTGCTGCCTCGAGATCACTGGAGCGAAGAAAGGTAACATATAGCAAGAATCCCTATTCAGTGAAGGATTTATCCCTTTTATTATTAAAGACTCCCGACAAAGGCTCTCCCCCTGCAAAATTGGAGAGAGTTTTATGTAGTTTAAGCTTCTAACAACCACGCCCGTGGACCTTTTATTATTTACACAAAGGTAAAAGTGTACATGTATAGCAAGAATCCCTATTCAGTGAAGGATTCATCCTTTTTATGCAGATGCTTCTTCTACCATTCTTGACCAGAAGTGCGTTTCAAACTCAATGATATGGGCATCATCCCATTGAATAGGGACTTTTAGAATGAGTGGACGAGAACACGACGAACGCCAACTGACCATGCGTGTCAACGTACTCAACTGCCCATGTTGACTACAATTAGAAATCTTTTAGATTGCACTCAACGTTATACATGCATGTAGGAAGTAACACTATATGAACATGACAGACAAAGAAAGAGGACAAAATATACAGTTCCTCATTCTACTCTCAACAATAGGCCATTTTCGTAATGTAACCAAATTTAATGCATAGGTCTTTGTAAAGTGCCTCAATACAAATTATTTAATTCACATGATAGGAATAATAGTATTTCAACAGTCAGAATGCAACTGCATATATTAAGTGTTGCTAGGTAGGTCAAGCCATAATATTTGTCCAACCTAGCTGGCAACAACAATAATGTATGCAGTTAGGATTCTGTCTATTGAAATACTATTATTCCTATCAGGTGAATGAAATAGTTTGTATTGAGGCACTTCACAAAGACCTGTGCATTAAATTTGGTTACATTACGAAAATGGCCTATTGTTACGTGGTAGAACATCCCTTCACTGCTATTATGCAAACATGTGTAGAACAGGTGAACATGCATGTGACA